TTTTTTTTTTTTTTTTTACCATTCAAACTATATGAAAATATAAAATAAGAATTATTGGATAAAGAAAAGGTATCAATATTAATGTGTTCATTATTATTTAATAATTAAAATTATATAATCTTAAATAATTTAAATTTTACAAAACTTTTTGTATTTTCAATTTATATAAATAAATTGTCTACATTTATACATAAACAAATCCCCTTAAAGTTGGAGCTAATGGAAATGAAGCCCCACTAAAGCAATGTGTGCTGATAAAAATAATAAAAAAAAAAACCTAAATCAATGTAAGCTTCTCGTTTAAATTGACCAAAATTTCATCCTTAATTAATTATTTTTTCATTTGTTAAGGTGCGGTAATGATTCCCTTATCTTACTTTCGCCACATTATTTTTATTATTTTTCGACATATTATTTTGTTTAAAAAGTTTTTAATCAATTGAAAGTGCCTCTGCAGCTTTAGTTTTTTACCCTTGCAGTCCTTTTTTTTTTAGGTAAAAGGCTCAGCCGCTTTAGTATGAATTAGGAACTAGGAAGGTTTGTTTCTGGGAAGGGGAGTACAAAATGTCGAAATCAATAAAAAATTAGAAGGGCAAATTCGACATTTAAAAGTCAAAAGTCAATTGCGCGTTAACTGTGAAATTGGAATTTCTGAGTAAATGAGTGGTGGTGAAAAGTCGAAAAGCCCATCATTGGATGTTAATTGGAAATTAAATTTGAGGGCAAATATGAGATTTCATTGGGTCAAAATTAATTGAGATTTATGGTGTCTACAACATTCCTCCCCTTTCTTTCTGCAACATACCAAACTCAGTAATCTCCGCAGCATTTCTTCTTCTACTCCAAATTCATCTTGTCTTCCAGAGTCTCTTTATCCTTTTTCTGGCATAAAACTCACTCTCCTTCACCCAATTTTTCTTATTAAATCTTCTTGCTCCTGACTTCCTCCTCTTCACTCAAACCAAAAAAATAAAATAAAATAAAATAAAGCTAGAGGCAAAGGTATATTACATATTTATGCTTCTAATTACTCTGCATTTTTTCACATCGCTCTCTTTTTTCTTCTTTTTTTTTTTCCTCGTCAGTATTTTTTTTGTACATCACACACCTATATTCATATTTATTCTTGTAATTACTTTTTATTGTTTTTTCGTTGTGATATATCATTTGGAGGATAATAACTTTTAATCATGATTTCAATCTCATAGAGAACTTGTTCTACGCAATGGAAGTCCTGTCTAAGGTAGGAGATGCGCTGTTATCTGCTGCTTTCCAGTGGCTGTTCCAGAAGTTGGATGAAAGTATTAAATCCCACCACTCTCAACAAGAAGAGGTCCTTGCTGAGCTGCAAGGGTGGAAATCGTATGATCCACAAATCCGTGCTCTACTCAAAGATGCTGAAGAGAAGCAGATAACTGACAGCTCTGTGAAGATATGGCTTGATGATCTCAAGGACCTGGCTTATGATATGGAGGACATTCTTGATGGATTCCAGGCCGATGTGCAGAGGAGAAACTTGACAACAAAACCTCACCAAACCAGCACAAGCAAAGTCACCCTCAAATGCCTTCCTTCTTTCAAGCACAATGATTCAGCATGTGACTCTGTCACCATTTCAAAAGTGAGGGTGATTGCTCAGAGATTGAAAAGCATGGTAGATCGCTCAAGGACCCTTAGCCTAGTGAGTTCCACAATACAAGTAAGAGAGCGGACTGCTGGAGCAGCTGCAAGAACAGTACCCACCACTCCTCAACTTGAATCTGATGTTTATGGTCGAGAAAATGATAAAGAGGCTATTCTTAAAAAGTTGCTCAATGACGAATGCAGTTCTAGAGGTGAGGTATTTTGCGTTCTTCCCATTGTTGGAATGGGAGGTGTTGGCAAGACCACCCTAGCTCGATTGGTTTACAAGGAGGTGGAGCAAGGAAGATTTAATCCCCGAGCCTGGGTTTGTGTCTCTGATCAATTTGATGTTATGAGCATCACAAGAAACATTCTGGAGGAATTAACAAAGGCAAGGTGTGATTTGAACAGTTTGAATTTGCTTCAAGAAAAGTTGAAAGGAGAGCTATCTGGCAAGAAGTTTTTACTTGTACTGGACGATGTTTGGAATGAGAAGGGCAATCTATGGGATAACTTAAAAGTCCCTTTCAAATCAGGAGCACCAGGAAGCAAAATAATAGTGACAACTCGTAACATGGGTGTTGCACAAATGATGGGTGGGAAGAATAGTGTTCACTGCCTAGGAGTGCTAGAGGATGATAGATGCTTGTCAATATTAGCTCGAGATGCACTAGGAGTGGAGAACTTTGATGCACACCCAAATTTGAAAAATGTTGCTCAGGAAATAGTTAAAAAATGCAAAGGGCTTCCCTTGGTTGCAAAAATTCTCGGGGGCCTCTTACGTGATTCAGAAGACATTGATGATTGGAAATACGTATTAAACAGTAAGATATGGAATCTACAAGGAATCCAAAGCAGCACTCTTCCAGCTGGTTTGATGTTGAGCTACCATCATCTTCCTTCTCATTTGAAGCAGTGTTTTGCGTATTGTGCAATGTTTCCTAAGGATCACCAATTTAATAAAGATGAGTTAATCTTCTTGTGGATGGCGGATGGGCTTTTGAAACAACAATCAGGAGACAAAAATCAAATGGAAGATATTGGTCATCGATGCTTCTCTGAGTTACTTTCAAGAGCTTTCTTTCAACACTCAAGCAATGATGCCTCGAGGTATGTAATGCATGACCTCATACATGATTTAGCTCAATATGTTGCTGTAGAAACATGTTGCAATCTTGAAAATATGTTGGAAGCAAAGAAAGAAGAAAATGCTGAAAAGGTCCGCCATTTGTCATTTTATTGTAGATGGCTAGATATCTCTAAGAGATTTGAAGTTTTGAATAAAATGAAGGGTTTGAGATCATTCATTCCTATTGTTCCATCATTAGGCAAAAACTATCTTTCAAATACAGTGGTGCATGATTGGTTAGTGAAGTTAACATGCTTGAGGGCATTGTCTCTTCAAAGTTATAACATAAGAAAGCTTCCGGATTCAATTGGAGATTTGAAGTGTTTGCGATACCTTAATTTGTCTGAAACTGCCATAGAGACCTTACCTGAATCCATAGGTTTCCTTCTGTCATTACAGACATTGTTGTTACAGAATTGTTATCAGTTCTCCAAATTTCCTGCAACAATTGGGAACTTGAATGACCTTCAATATCTTGATATTACTAATACCCAGTCTTTAAAAGCTATGCCACAGGAAATAGCTAATCTCAAAAATCTTTTGATATTTCCCAAATTCATAGTAGGGAAAACAGAAGGACTGAGATTAAGTGATGTGAAGAACTTGTTACATCTTCGACGGTATCTATCTATTCTAGATCTACAAAATGTTTCTAATAATTTAGATGCCAGACGATCCAATTTACACATGCTTGAAGCTCTAGATGAGTTGGTGCTAGAATGGACTTCTGATTTTGATGATTCAAGAAAGGGAAGTGATATTGCAGAGGAAGTGCTCAGCTCCTTAAGACCTCATCAAAATTTGAAGAAGTTGACGATTGGTTGCTATGGTGGTAAGCAATTTCCATCCTGGATTGGTGATCAATCTTTTTGCAAGTTGTCCTATTTGAGGTTGTCTGGTTGTCGAAACAGCACTTTGTTGCCATCAGTTGGGCAATTACCTGCACTCACAGAGTTGATTATTGAAGACATGAATGCAATTAAAACTGTTGAATCTGAGTTTTATGGGCGTGGTGGGCATGGCGCTTTTACATCTTTGCAGATGCTTAAGTTTCACAACATGTTAAACTGGGAGAAATGGGCTTTTCTGACTGACACTGGAGTAGAATTCTCGTGTTTGAAGGACCTTGAGATTGCAAACTGTCCTAAGCTAACGGGCAAATTACCCAGCCACCTTTCTTCTCTCATTAATCTTGTGATAAAGGGATGCCCAGAGTTAACATGTTCATCTTTAAGTCTTCCATCTCTTAAAAAACTATGCATCGCAGGTTGCAACCAATTACTTCTGGAGAGCATGGTTAATTTGACTTCGCTCACAATGTTGGAAATTTCAGATATTTTAGGACTTGGTTGCTTGCCCAAGAGT